ATAAAACTCATGTTTAATTAATCAGTGTTTGTAACTTTAGTTATAGATTCTGTCATGTGGTCCATAGTTGAATGGTCATTGGAAGAATGTGTAATAATTCAATAATTCATGAGTTTTAGAATGACTGTTAATGGTGAGCCGAAAGGTCGATCGATAAAAAATAAAACTTAAAATTTATCGATTGCAACCTTATTTATTGTAGACAACTAAATTTTACTTAAATTATCTGGTATGAATAAAATTTTCTTGTTGTAAGCGTCGTTTTTTTTGTAGTTGTTTTTGTTGTTGTCGTTGTTGTTGTTGTGAAAGATTGCAGTAACATACATCATTATGAATGGGACACCAAGTTCAACCAACAATTTTATTTCACTTCGAAAACTATGAGCGTGAGATTCGATTGGTTGATTCAGGCGTTTGATGTATTGCAGTTGAGATTTTTCCTTTTTTTCTATATTCATTTATTATTGATGTGAAAAGTTCGCATTTCGTGCTCGTATAATTTATTTTTTTTCATTTGCAAGATAATGAATCTAACAAATCATTGAACTGTTTCACCTTTTGAGGATTAATGCCCGCTATAACACCAATATGAATTAACTGTCCAGAAAATGGCTTCATTTTATTAAAATTGATTTTTTCGTATGCGAGTATCCGAATTAATCAAGGTGAATCGGCATGGTTGCGTCTGGACTAGGCCTTTAGTCCGTAACAAATACTCCAATTTCGAGTTCTGGTTTGCTCTGTGCTAGCCTCAAAACGAAGTAACTTATTCTTTTGTTTTATTGATAGCGCTAAAAAGCGCAAGGAATTTGAAAAGAAAGACAATAAAATTGATTTGAAATCTCATACTTTTATCCTCACAATTAGGAATATTTTGCTCAAATGAGGTTAACACAGAGCATTGAAGAATTCGAAACTGGATTATTGAGTTTTTACATCAAAAGACAAAGACTAAATTCAAAAAGAGGCTTGAGGGACACGGGGAGGGGGTTGGCACTCCCCCTGCACCCTCCTGTTAGCACAAGCTTACAGATATACTTATAACAATTGGACTGTGTTTCTTAAGCCAATGTCAGTTGAATACTTTCTTGTAAATACATCTCATTATCTTTTTAGCCGACTGTCTAAACTCCGACCTAAAGAAGGAATATATAACAGGATTAAGACCGGACTGAACCAATAAAAACGTAACGGACAGTTTAGATAGTAAAGGCTCCAGTGAACCAAGCTTGTCGTTTAGTTTTAGAATGAAATATGCACCACGAGGCAGCCAACAAATTACAAACACAATGACTATCATCACACATGAGAATGTTCCTTTCTTTCTCCGAATGGCATCTTTCTCTATTTCGAAGTTTCGTCTTGAAGGTTTGGGTTTGATATCACTACTGTTGTTGTTGTTGCTGCTGCAGCTCTGGCTGTTGTTAAGYGCAATCCTTGTACTGATCCTGCTAATGACGCTGCTTCTGTTCTTATGACTGTCGCTTTTGAAGCAGGCATTGCTGACGTTGATGCTTGTTTTGTTGCTGTTKGAGATGTCATTATTGCTTATGTTAGCGCTGTTGCTACATTGTTTGTTGTTGCTGTTGTAACTGATGTTTAGATCGCTGTTATTTTGATTTCTGCTATAATTGTTTTTGTTTTTACAGTCATTGCTTTTATTTGTATTGTTGTTGTTGCTGTTTTGGTTACAGTTGACATTGTAATCACTGCTGTTTCTAATGACGTGACTGCAATCCCTGGTGATGTTACTACCATTGTCCCTGTTAAATCTATTATTTGTGCTACCATTGTGAAAATTCCTCCCTTGTATTTTGCGAACTTGTATCTTAATGGCGTTGATAATCCGAAGGTTGATTATACAAACAATCAATATCGGAATGACAACGAAACAGAACAGCAAAAAGTACGTGTAAACATTATTTGTTCTCGTCGCTTTTTCAGCGTTAGAACCATGCTGCCAGATATTCCTCACACCTGCCAGTATTACAGGAATTACCCAGACCATTACCAGGATTGCAATYACCTTCTTGTCTGTCATGTAGAGGTTGTAAAGCAGTGGRTGAAATACTGCAATGTGTCTATCATAGCTGATAGCTAACAGGTTGAACACCGAGGCAAGRAAGGTGTAATCTTTACCTCCTTCAAAGAACCAGCACAGATTGGAGAGCGGACGCTCACATCCTGAAAAGAGATCATCCAAAACAATTAAAAAAAATGAAATGAAATGAACGTCTGGAAGTAAAAATGACATCTACAATCTTGAACTAATAAAGCTGTCATTTTTCCACGGAATACGAAAAATTTGGTGAGTTTAATCATATTTTTTGTGATTCACATTTCTAACGTGATCCAAAGTTGTGGCACAAATCAGTTAAAGTCACAACACTGAGTTGAGTGTACTTTGAGCAATCAAAGATTTCTACTGTATTACGTCATACCYGTGCAGTAGGTGGCATAGCTTGGTATTACAATCACGGCCAATAGTATATCSGATATGGCCAGACTCATCAACAGCACATTCATATGACTTCTGGACAATTGACCACTGACTACAAACACCAGAATGGCGAATGAGTTCCCAGCTAAGATGATGATACCAAGGAATAGATTGACTGCCCAGAAAATCAGCTCAAGGGTCTCGTCGCATGATTCTTCCCCTGTGTATTTATTGCTGTTGATGTTTGCTATGAAATCGTTCTGAAAAAGKTTCGCAGGGCCTGCTGGGTAAGACCAGTTCTTGAGGCTGTTAGTTGTGAAATTGGTAAGGTTCATTTTACAGGGTTTTTGGCTCGTTTGKTGTTTTGACGTTTTTCTTGAATGTTTGAATATAGGATTTCCTCCTTTACAGAAAAAATATAAGGCACATTACTCTCGGACTGTCCCATTAATTTYTAAGTATACATGTGATTTATAAAAYGAGTATCTTAGCAGTGTCATATTAGTTTTCGAAGCAGACTTTCAGTGGTTGGCAAATGCTCGAACTTGTAATTTTGGTCGATRTTAACAATAAAAGCAAGGGAAATTCTTCTCGTTATCAAGAATCTTCATTTCYTGGAAAMAGGTAGTGTTGATTGGTATTGATACCAAGTGTRAATACTCAMACTACATTTCGCTCGTGCACCAATTTCTCTTRCAAAAGTTTTCGKGGATACAGCGTGGTTTATTTTGKGATTCACTATGTCAATTTCTAAATATGTATTACAATAGAATCTCGGACGCTTGGCCGACACAACAGCACTGATAGGTGGAAAAATACGTTACAACAGGAAAAACAAGGAAAAAGTACGTCCAGTTCATTTCTGAAATTGGTGTTTTATTTTTAGTTCGCCATTTCAAAAATTCCCACATTGACTTGAAATGTCTCCCATTGACCATTTGCCGACGGTCAGCGTTAGATGCAATAAGGTAAAATATCTTAAAATCAAATGATAAAATCGCCAAAATATAGATTAATTTCTTTTGTTTTAAGGAAAAAAGTCTCTCGCGTTCTAAGACCGCACGAAGACTATAATTTCGGTGGTTCAAAGGTCCAAGTTCTTGCAAATGAAAGAAACTATGAAGATTGAAATTGTAATAAGCGCAACGTTTGACTTACCAAAGCTGCTCACGAAGCCATAGTCAATTCAATATGAAGACAAACCTTGAAGTCAGTGTTTAATCTATTGTATCCGTTTCCAAACAATTAGTTTATCAAATTTCACAAAAGACGACGATTTTTTTTATTAGTTTGCAAACGTGCCAATTTCCTGCAAAAGTAATTAGCGTCAGTTGTCTTTCAGTCCTTTCTACAGTATAAATTCTGTATTTTAATTTTGATTCTGTATTTACTTGGATCTAACCTTGGATTGTAGGGAGGTAAAGGTCTTTATGCGTAATGTTTTTGTTTTTGTATTATTGTATTTCTGAGGGGTGGGGAAGGTAAGAGAGAGAGCAACTCAAGAAAAAAATATCTTGATATTAAAAATGCCTTTTGAATAAAAGACGTTGTTTGCCAGAAAGAGCTCTATATTTCATTTCCTATTTTATYTATTAATACCATGTTTTTTCTACGTTTTTTGTGAGACCTAAAACGGGRTGTCTATACAACCATCCTCCATCCCCTCCAAACTCCTGGTTTTATTTACTTGCAGCCTATGCGTGCTTATAATGTAATTATAGGCATATCCTACTGACAATGTACGTCTTATGTTAGCCTGCAACATTTTAAGTCTATTTTAACCTCGTGTTTTTTTTTTCGTTTTTGCATATTTTTTCGTTTTGTCGTTGCTGTTTTTTCGTTTTGTCTGTTTTTTTTTGTCTGTTTTTGTTGTTGCTTGTTTTAGTTTAGTTTTTCATCTTAATTAACATAGCTGGGAAGGTAATTTCATCTTGTCATAGCTTACTGTCTAGTTCTTTACGCCTTTTGCTTTCATGTTTGTCTGAATGTTGTCAATGAACACGTACAACMAGTGMTCCACCTTACCTGGGTCTGTACAATTTGMAAAACAACTATTTGCAATATTAATTTCGAGAAAGCAAATTACTACTTTTGCCAGTGGTGTATGGAAGAGCAACAATTGATTTACAATTGTTACGTGCTTCATTCCTTTTTAATGGAGTCACTATTGAAAGGATCGGAGGGGGAGAAGTCCTCAATCTTATTGGACTATCCTACTCTGCAGATGTCTCTCCAGCCTTTTGCCTTTATTAACTTTCATATCAAAGAATTTGCCTCCGAAAAGTTGTCCTTCATTTAGCAAACATGTATGGTAATCTTACCTTATTTGGAAGTGAGTGTGGACTGGTTTTTTGCTGTTTTCTCGACTTTTTGGCATGAAATCGTCTGAAACTTGCATCTATTATAGCGAAAACAGCTTTGAACAATTGGCTAGGTTCGCTTAAAATGCACTGGGAACCCATTTTTTTAGATCCAGCAGTATTTTTCTATTTTTGAAGGTCTTTTCAAATTCCCTTTATAAAAACCTTTCATTTCCAGGGCTTTTAAAGGAGTACAACGAGCCCTGAATAAAATGTGCCCGTTGTTTACTCAACAAAAAGTTATTTTAATATATTTTTAATTGGAATATCTAGTATATATATTTTGTGGGATGGTCATAATTTTTGGTACCCAATTCAAGAGAGGGCCACATTTTTTTCTTTGTCTTACAAGGGAGGRCCTCTATTTTCTTAACAGGGTTCAATGCAAATTTGGCTCCCCCCCCAGTAAATAATGACAACTCCCTAAGCAATGTCGAACACGTAAAATGTCACACTTCTTTTAACAATAAAATTAAAATTGTTATTTTCCATAAATATTTTTGTTTCAACTTGCGGTTTTCAATGATATCATCTGGTTATAGTATGTAGAATAAAACCCTTGAACATTGCATGTTATCGCCATACCTGTCGTTTATGTATATTTTCCCTGTATATTTTCACCATCCCTTTTCTGCCATTACTTTTTATGTTTTCACGTGCTTTACTTTAGTACCAAGTGCTGCTTTGTCTGAAGCTCGTTTGCTGGGCAAGAAATAATAAATAGTCTATTGTTGTCTAAAATGGGCTAGTATTTAAATACGGACGTGCTTTGTAAAATGTAAGACGTCTAAGAAAAGAAATAGATTTAACTRTGGAAGAAAGTATCTTCATGCTATAATATTCACTAAAGGAAAGTTTAATCAATTATCCATCAAGAAACAATATCTTATAAAAASAAATTGTAAAATACCGAACAAGCAAATTTTGAATTTCAAGACATCATATATAGCCGTCCTGGATTCACATTTGTGAATAATGTTTTTATATAATCTACCAACGTCATGGGGCGTGGCAACACCTGTTGTCAGACTCTGGTACCAGAATCTAGTGAACAGATTCCGTTTAATGCCAGGAGGTACCTCCCACAGCACGTTAAAAGCCTTCTTAATTTCATGATAACACGCTCATTCACACCATGGATGGTTCTCTCTGTCTTTTTAAAAATAATTGAATAAAGTGTATATCGACATCGGAACGTCTTCCGAGGTAATTTCATTCAGCGGTTATAACACAATGACCATGCGCACTTAGTGTTGTGTTTATGGCTATTACCGCGTCTCATCTCAACCATAACAATTCATTAACGTGAACGTAACGTCTGTTAGTCACTGTGATTGAATTAAGGAATAAAAGACGAAATTCCGTGTTTGATACTCTGATCAAAACACGCGGGATGTAGGGAGAGCACGAGAGAAGCGTAGGAAACCACGACGCGTTGCCACGCCCCATCACAGCGCGCGTAGTATCCTAAATATTTTAGAATATCTGGTAATATGACAANAGTTCCATGCGCGGTCCTTGCATTCATATCTTTACAATCTAAGTACCGCCAGCTAATATCTATTTCACCCCGACCTGCTCCCAGTCTTTCCTTGTTGCTGAGCTGTACAAATCCGAGGGTCCTGCAGGGTTCGAATCCCAGCGAGATCGAAAAAAAACAAATTATTTCTTTCCAATAGACCTAACCGGCAAACGCGTTGCTATAAACGTTTCCACCCAATTCAAACCACCCGGGAGTAAGTTTCATTCTTTGTATTTTCTTTTTTCCACAGGTTTAGAATTGGGTGCCGACGTGCGTAGTAACGCGTTAGCCTACTTGGTCTATTTATTTCCAAGTGTCTTTCTCCAGTCCTGGAATAACCTCATTCATATCTAGGGGCCAGATTAACTTTACTGAAAAATGCAGAAATCTTATCAATGGATCTTTTTGGGGTCTTTTCGAGATTTTCTTCTCAGGTTTGTGTTGAAAACTGTGATGACATATTTGGCTTTCTAACTGGTTAAATACAAGCTCAATCAAGTTACCCTTTTATGGTGGATTTTTAGAAGAAGGCGCCACAGTGAATCGTGATAAGACGAGTAGATTTTTCCTTACCAAAGAAGAGTTCGCAGAGAAAGTTTATCCACCGTACTCTCAGGGATCTGTGAACGTTTTATCTACTGATGTTCTCCCAAAATATTTTAACTACACTCAATTTCATAAGACCTTTTTCATTTAAGATGCCTTTTTGGGAGTTGTAGCCAGCGATTTAGGGTTGATTGCTACAGACATTCCTGGATTTTGTTTTAGACTATCTGATGCAATTGGATGCAATTTAAAAACTTCTACAGCTATTGCCCACAAAGTAGAACCTTCGCAAATGATATCTCTTCACGAGAAATATAACTTACAAGTAAACTGTTGCGACTTGGATGGCTAACTTGATACTTTCGTTTCTCTAAGCATTTACGTCTAGTATAAGGCCATATTATGAATCGCACGTGCATACACTTTCCTTCGGCTCGAATCTTTATACCTGATAAAACACACTCTCTCGTGTTTTTAACTATACATATTAAATACACATTTGAGTATTTTATTTTGGATTTTAATGTTTCAAGTACTTCATAAGCTTATTCTTATATTATTAATTGTTTTTCAATTAAAAACAGGCTTTCATAATATATAGCTGCTTGTATACAATTTTCTTAATATTAACACGGCGACGACTTTATCCTATCACACATGCCCAAATCCTTCGAACACTTGGCCTTCTTACATTTAAGTAAGTCTATGCAATCTTGGTCGGTTTTACACTTATAGCCCCTAAATTCCATACTCGTTGATGAGGTTATATAGCCTTTGTCTTTCCATTGAATCTAAAAATAAAATAGATTGAGATGGTTTAAAATGATATCGTCGACACTGCGATGGAGATGGCAATGTAAACGACAGTTAATATAAGTCTAGGAAATATACATTAAATAATAATAACTTTAATCCTCTCCATACCAATTGATGCAAAGGATACAAAATGTCAAAATACAACATATTATTCATTAAATGCCAGGTAGGACTATAACAATTGTCTAGAAATCTGGGTAAAGTACGTAGTAGAACCACCACATGACACTAAATAGAAACCACGAGTTGAAACAAAAGTAACTTAGGAAAATAGCAATATTGAAGCGAGATATTTTACGGGTTGTACGTTACTTACAGAAGAATGAACATTAAACATCAACCTGATATCATTTTTCATCTTTCCGAAACTATTAAAGCGATATATAGAGAAATCTTAAAACCGGCTGTGGATGGCATGTGATGATAGATATTAAAAGTTAAAAGAAGTCGGTTTAGAATATTAAAACAGGAGAATTTATGTTGGTGAGAGGATGGAGATGTTAAGGAACGAAAAGTTCCTGTTTGATCCTTATCGATGAGAATGACTTAAACCTACCTTTTCATCTTTAGCTGTGCTTTCGCAGTGGCTTGAATGAAACTGGAGCAACACGAAAAGTGCAATGACAACACAAACTTGAATGGAGCAATTCATAGCTGGTCGGCAACTGAAAAAAAGGAAAATAGCAATGTCAAATCTGGACGTGCTTCTTAGAAGAATTTGAGACGCCTTTAGAAAACTAATTAGAACATGTATGTATAGAAGAAATGGTTTTCAGTCTGAAGCTATAGTATCTCCACGTTTATAGTTCAAGACATTTATGTCAAGATGATTTATCAATAATTGATCTAATCCTATCTTATAAATGTTTGCTAAGTTAGTAGAAAATGAACTTATAATACCTAACAAGCAATCTCGAAATATATCAAGATATCCTACCTTGACGTGCTGGATTCACTTCACGTTTGTACTACGGATTAAAGGAGTGGATTTCTTATTGGTGAAGTTAACAAAGAAAATCACACATTGATTTAATAATGTCTTTTTGATATAAACCTGGCATT